CTGCGATCCTGGACTAAAACTTGGATTTCGCCTCCTCCCCTAGAGAGTGCCCTCTCTACAGTCTCCCTTCTTCTATCTCTATGGTCTTATCGGCTTCCCGGAAGTCCGGCCGGAAGCCAGTCTTTTCGGCCTCTATGATCACGCCTCGAGAGGAGGGAGGGGGGAAGAGGAGCGGTGGGCGGGGCGTTTGAAAGTGGCGGGAAACGTTGGCATCTTGGCTGGAGCTGCGTTCTAATCCTACCCAGGAAAGGCTGCGATAGGTGAGCTTCCACAAACTTCAGCACTCTTATCTCTTTCCTAGACAAGAGAATGCGCAAGGGCGTCTCCATTTGCTGAGGTGAAACTTCTAATTATTTACTTAGAAATATATGGTACATGTATAACTTGCCCGTTCTTTCTCCAAAGTACCATACGGAAATAAGGAAATAATGAGGAGTTCCATCCCAGCAACTAGAAGCACCATCTGAGACAAACTAAACGTTTTCTGTTGCTCCTTTTTTAGCAAGATCTTTCCCAGTCTGGCACCTTCTAGATAAACTGAATTAAAATTCCCGACCCCTTTGAGCCACCTAGGTTGGTCTCACTCTTATTTTTGTCTCTCGGCAAAGACAGGTTTTAACAGATTTGGCTAGGAAAAGTTTTGTCTGTCAGATTTCACAATCTTTGTTAGGAGGGTGTTCTTTGCAGTGTTTCGGAAATTGCATCTAAAAACAAAGTGCATATACTGTATGGTAATTTCATCTTTCCACCCCCACCCCCATAGTGGGTGGGGAAGCTCTTTTCTCCCCCACCCAAAATGAAAAGAAGAAAAAAATCCCCACAACGATGGCTGCTAGTTGATAAAGAATTATTTGAACCTTGGAAACTTAAAATCTTTAAAATGGCTTATTTGGAAATCTGCCCTTCTCTATCCCTGATACGTTTCAGGAACAAATAACTTTTGTTTTATCTTCGCTGGTTTCTCTTATGGGCTTGTAAGGTTGTGGTCATTCTGTGGCTCCCAGCAGGCAGATTCCTGGGGGATGACTCACCAATTCCAGCCTCGACCTTTTAAAGTCTATTTTTTTGTAATCCTCTGTGTCGCTGCAGCTCCTTTCTCAACATGTCAGGGAACCTGATGGTCTACGAAACCCAGTTCTTTGGGTTCACCCCTCAGACGTTTATGCTGCGGATCTACGTCGCTTTCCAAGACCACCTTTCCCACATCATGCTGATCGCGGAAGAGGCCATGCTGAATAAATTGCAAAACGTCCATCGAAACATCACGCCTTCCCTCATCCGGAGGGGCACCGAGCAGTTTTTTTCGTTCATGAAGGAACGTTTTGAAAATCTGTTCGGGCAAATCGAGGAAACCCTTTTGAGCGCCGTTTTAAGCATCCCCAAAAATGTTTTGCTTCCTGAAGACAAGGTCCAAGAGAAATTCCGCTACACGGCGGAACAGTTTCAGCAGCTGCAGCGCGAGGTCAGGCAGCAAGAAGAACAGCTCAAGGTGGAAACGCAGGCTGGGCGGGCTCTTCAAGCCGAACTGGAAGAGCAAAAGGTGGTCCAGGACCATCTTGAAAGGATCCTGCAGTGGCTGGATAGTCTCGACAAAGCTGGACGAGAAGAAGGCACCGGCAGCTTCCAAGAAAGCTTTGCTGCCTTGACAAAAATGGCAGCCAGATTGCAAAACGTAGCACAGGAGGTGGAGGAGAAAATGAAAAGAGTGGAAAAACACTGATAGTCAGAAAATGAGAATAGAAAGAATTCCTGCTTGCACCAATCTCACTTTTCCTCTCCTTGGGAATTAGTTCAGTTCGTTCCTGATGGTCTTGAAATCCAGGTCAGGTCATCTGGGTAACAAGAGAGCCAGAAATTCAAGGTCCCTGGAGAGGCTAATTGTGATCTCCTTTAAGGTACACTATGCAAGATATCCAGGCATCTACCAGCTGTTGCTGAATCTGGCTGCTGCCACCACATCTGGCTGCAGAAACATCATCTCTGTAGCACAAAGGGCTCTTTGGTGTTGCTTTCCACTTTGGGTGTGTGTGTGTGTGTAGCTTGTTGTTTGTGGGAGAAAGGAGGGGTAGAGCAGGAGCCAAAAGGTGCCGGAGGGGACTTGGATGTGACTTTGGGGGGGGGGGTGTAGCTTGTTGTTTGTGGGAGAAAGGGGTAGAGCAGGAGCCGAAAGGTGCCGGAGGGGACTTGGATGTAGATGATAGGTTGTCAAAAGTTGTGATGGGGAACTTTCTGAGTGCTGAGATGGATCTTCCTTCGCCCCACAAAATGCTACTGTTCACAGCATTTACAGTTTCCTATGTTCCACTTGCAAACACAATAAAAAGAGACTGTTCGTAAAGAGCATTTTCACCAGACAACTGTCCATATGTGTGTTTTAGCTGGACCTTAGCTTCTGGCTGAATTTTACAACTTTACAGGTAAACCAGGAAACCACTGGGTATTTTTTTTTTAACTAGGACTCAGCGACACACCAAACAAAGCCCGTTGCAAAAGAAGTGTACATAAAATTAAACAGTGTAACTCCCAACACTATGAATTAGTTTTCACACACTCAGTTCAGAGTACGTGAAGAGAGCTGAACAACTTGTAGCAATAAAAAAAAAACCCGTGTTTTTAGGTGTTGTGGTTTAAAAACATGTTTGGAAGGCAACACCTAATGCTGCAGGCTAACCTGGCTAGGGATCAGCGACTTCCAGTCCAGGAAAAAAAATGCAGATTCATTGGTTGGCATAAAAGCCCACCCCTGGCTTTTTCCCAAGCTTTCTTCTTTTCAACATAGGAGAATTTTTTTTCCATTATTGGTCCAGTGAAGTGTGGGCAACTATTGCTCATCAGCGATAGAAAGTATATCTAATGACAAGGGGTAGTGAAAGTTGCTGTCTAATCATCATAGTGTGCTGTCAAGTCAATTACGACTTTTGGTGACCCTGTTCGGGGTTTTCAAAGTACTGTAGAGAAGACTCAGAAGTTGTTGACTCTTCCCTTCTTCCGAGGGTGCCCTGGGACTGTGCCGCTTGCCCAAAGCCACCCGGGCTGACCCTATTCCTAGGAGGCACAGTGGGGAATTGAAAATCCCAACCTCTGGTTTTGCAACCAGATACCAAACCCCACTGAGTTATCTAGCTAGTTTAATTGATTGGGGTGTGTGTGTGCGTGTGTGTGTGTATTCATACTGTTTTGCTCATGCAGTTATTTAGTGTTTTATTTTGTTGTGAACCACCTAGAGAGGCCTTAGTAGCCAGATGGGCAGTATATAAATCGAAAAAATAATAATAACAGCCACACTGCCATCGAGAGCAGTGATTCTCAATAGTAGCCAGATGGGCAGTATATAAATCGAATAAATAAATAATAATAACAGCCACACTGCCATCAAGAGCAGTGGTTCTCAACTTTTGCTCCCCAGATGTTCTTGGACAACAATTCCTAGAAATCTTGGCCAGCACAGTTCGTGGTGAAGGATTCTGGGAGTTGTAGTCCAAGAACATCTGGGGACACAGGGTTGGAGCCGCTTTCATGCTGATAAGCTCCTTTTCTCACTTGCACTTCATCTCATGCTCTATTATTGCTTTGTTATTTTTTAACTGGGTGGATAGGTAACCCTCTGAGTCAGTGATTTCACATTGTCATCCAAGAACATCTGGGGCGGGGAGCAAAGGTTTCATTTTAAACAAAAACGGAAAGGCACTTTTGGACTATACATAATGTGTTTTCTGGCATTCCCCAAAAGCCTTTTTATTGTATCAACGAGATACAAACTCTAGGGGCCGGTTGCTCATCCCTGTTTCTAAGCTGAAGAGCCAGCGTTTGTCTATAGACACTTTCCATGGTCACGTGGCCAGCATGACTAGACACTGAATGCCATTACCTTCCCACCGAGGTGGTACCTATTAATCTACTTGCATTTCCATGCTTTCAAACAGCCACCCTGTTTCCCAGGAAAGATAATCCCATTTGATTTTTCAGGATGCTCGTAATATAACCCCTACCCCCCAAAAATAAGCCCCAGTGAAGTGAAACCCCACCCTCCATCCTTGTGCAGCAACCAGATAATGATGACAGGACTGCATTTGAATAAATGTAGGTTGTTGTCCATGGAAAAAAAAAATCCCCTGAAAATAAGCCCTAATGCGTTTTGGAGCAAACATTTATATAGGACCCTGTCTTATTTTTGGGGAATCACAATAGGTTGGCAGGAGCTGGAACCAGCAATGAGAGCTCACCCCCGTTACGTGGATTCGGAGGAGGTCCCAAACAGGACCTCTCACAGATCTTGCATTTGAAAATACAGTAGTAGAGTCATTGTGTTGAGCTTCCAGGGTGAGAATGCCAAGACTTCTTAGTTAACATTGCCTGCCATCTTTATTAATGCTGCAAGATAGACACAGATTGCCATAATGTGACATTGAAAAGGGAGGTGGGGCTAGCCTTCTCAAATCAAGAAGAAGCCATTCCTTTTCTTGATTTACATTTTGGGGTAGAAAGAAAAAAGACAGAATATTGTCCACATTGCTGTTCTCAAAATACAACTCTTCAAAACGATTCTCAAGGAAAGGCTTGTGGTTTTAAGCCTGGACGTTGGTCAGCGTTACTTCTCCCTCTACTTCGAGCTGATCGATCTGTTGCAGGTTTGGGAAGCGGTGGTTATAATCAAACAGATGTTGTCCGTTCACAGCCACTTTGAAGCAGTGCGTTTCGCACATAATCCAGATCTGTTAAAGAAAGGCAAGAGGAGTGGAGTTGGAGACTTTAGACCAGAGGGAGAATCCAGATGTGATTTAGACAGAGGTCCTTTTTTACCAGAGTCCAGAACCCTGCCCTTCCGGGGCCAAACCATTTTCTTCACACACAATTTATGGACACAATTCTCTACAGGAGAATTGTGCATTCAATGTTAATCCTGCTTTATTTTTGGAGTGGAGGAGGGACTCTTTTAAAAGCAGTCAAAAGTCTATTGTTTTTAAAAAGAAAACAATGGCCTTTTCATTTCTGGTTTCCTTCCAAGTCCCTGCAAGATTCTGAGTCGGGGTGGGGGAAGCCACCAAACTTTTTGAGGTTTGCCCACACGATACAGCACACTTTTTATCCTGTTCCCACCAGAAATTTAGAAGATTATGTTGGCACTTATTTCTGGGTAGAACTTTCCTAATCTATGCATTTCCCCCCAACAAGTCTCCTTGTATGTACATTTTTGTATACAATTTCCCCCAATATTTGTTAATTTATAGCCCAGCTTTCTTTTTAATCCTTTTTTTCCCTCCAAGGAGTTCAAATGACACATGTAATCTTTCTCTTTCTTTGAACAACCCTGTGAGAGATAACAAGTCAACATCGGGACCAAAAGGGGATTTAAACACCCCCCCTTGCTCAGCACGAGTCTAACACTAACCATTGTCCCGTCCTGTATGTCTAATAAGAGAAATTTTCACATGCATGTTTCCCTTTTATAGATGCAGTTCTGTAGGCACCTTTCACTGATGTTCTCCTTTTAATAAGCCACTGAGCCAAGCGTGGCCTCCCAAATAAATTAGAAAAATGTGCAGTCCAAAGCTGACTTTGTTCAGATGAGCCTGTTTGTCTAGGCAGTTCAAATCTGATTAGTGCACTTCGAAATGAGAACCAAATGGGATTATCTTCCGTCTGTGTCAGAAACAGCAATAAAATACATTATTAAGAATGCTCCTACTTACAGTGAAGGCCTGGTTTCGAGAGAAAGGCATTCCTGTGGACAGGTTGCGTTCCTCTGACCCCCAGCAGTCGTTGAACTTCGAATTTCGGACAATCACATTCTCATTGAAGCGTGGGTTTAGCTGGAAAGCGGTATTGCTTCCTGCTTTCAAGTTGACATGGAACCTATAGACAAGGGCCATCGGTATATGTATATATATGATGCACAAACCTGGCGTTGAAAACTAGAAGCATTCAGAATGATCACATTTCCCTGAGCTTCTCTGTTTCTTAAAATTTGCCAACCCCTACATATGTGCTTGCCAGTTTAAGGCAATGCTTCTTATAGATCTGTTAAAGCAAATGCTGGTCTCTCAGCACTTAAATTGCAATAAAACTGCTGTGACAAAACTTGGAAACATTAATGTTCGAGCTAGCACACAGGGTTGAATTGTCAAAGCAAATTAATTTATCAAATTGAACTGTTGGGAGAATGATTGATAGAATTAATTCATTGAGCTGAATCGTGGAAGTGTTGAAAACGATTAAAAATGGCTCATCATGAATTCAGCCGTGAGAATCATTTTTCATTGCTCAGAAAAAACGCTTGTACTTCACGATTAAAATCGTGAATTGTTGAAACTTCCAAGCAACATTTGTGTAAATATGTAAAACATATATTGAATGTTTAGAGCTAAAAGACCCGGGAGGGGGAAGTCCCATGAAGAGAAACAGTTCTGCGATATGCTAAAGAACCCCTTTCAACACTATCAAAAATAAAAAGCTGCAACTGATACTGTTTTAGTCCACCCCGAGCATTATTAACTAAAAGCAGAATGGAATAAATAAGATTATTTAAAAGTAACAGCCTCTTCCACAAAGCCGAAGGTCTTCCTTGGTCCAGTTTGTGAACAATACACTGAATTTAACCAGACTGCTGCCACAGTTCTTCTGTTGTGTTGTTTGAATATATTTACCTCGTGGCATTGGGAGGTACGGTTCCTGACAGTATAATGGATCTGGCTGGGAAAAGGCCTCCGACGATCGGCATTCGAAAAGGCACAGGCTGTGAAAAACGAGAAGACCGCTCAGGTCAGCGTGAGGACAACGGGTCCATTTTTCTCCTTTAATCACCACCAAAGGAGAGCAGCCCTACACGCGGGCACGTCCCTCCAGAATACCTGGGAGAACCAGCACAAAGTCAATTCTTCGCTCAAAGCTTGCATGGGGAGTTTGGTCCAGGATACTTACGTAATTTTGCAGAGGGAAGTAGGGCCCGGGTGGAAAGGAGGTGTTTTGCTACAGAAAGAGAAAGACAAGAGGTCATTACTAAGAGAGCGATAGATCCCAAATAGTTCTGAAACATGTACAGTTACCTAAAATAAGGCCATCCGGGTAGTAATTATCTGCTATGAAAACTGTCTACATGCACCAAATGAGAAACATTTAAATCAATGTCCCTGACTTCCTGCCTGAAAGCAGTACAATCTAATTTATCAGTTCTGGACTCTCGCATCTTATTCTGTTCTTTTCTCTCACCCCTATCAAATACATGGGACCCAAATCTTGATCAATAGTCTTGCAGTGCGTTTGCCTTCAGCACCGTTCAGAACAACTTGGACCGCGACTGCGGAGTGGGGTCCGGAATCGTTAGGCAAAAATGAATTCTGTGACTCACCGGGTAGCCTGGTGGAAACACTGGATTGGACGGGAAGACAGAATTGGTCTGAAATAAGAAAAAGGAAATGGTGTGCCAGGAAATAGCTGGTAATCCACAAAAGCACCCATTGAAAGAAACCTGTTCAACTTCCTCGTTTTTTTTTTTACAACAACACTAGCAACTACCACCACTAGATGGCAGTAGCATGGAAAAGATAATATAATGTGTTGCCTTTGTAACCCAGGTCTTGCTTGAAAGAGTTGTCATGTCTTGGCAACTAACCCTAACACAAAATAACCAAGGTAAGCTAGTTGTAAGCTACAATGACAGGTAAATCGGGCCTCCCTCCCTCCTTGTGACAGCATCTTTTTTGGAAGATTTCTAAAGCATACCGCAGGCCCTTGGAAGCTAATGGAGGCCACCTCCAGCCCTCCTGAGATGCCGATGGTGTCCACTCGGTTCAGAGGGATCCTGTGTTTGAACTCCAAGTAATGCTTGCCATCTACAGCCACCTGGAAAATGCTGGAATAAGTGCAGGCAATTTGTCCGGATCCATTGATTTTTTTAAAAAAAGCAATGGGACAAATACTGTTAACGGATGCACAGGGCGTCGGGGATGTGCTCTGGAAGATGGGTGGATGGCCCACCCAAAGGAGAGATTCTGCCGAGCTGAATAACCTGTGTTCTGTTGGCCAAATGTGCACCTCCATGCCAATCAAACTATGCTCTCCATCCTGCAGTGGATGGTTGATAGCAGTCAGTTATTGATTACAGCAGGAGCCCTGTATCTGTCTGCAGATGCTGGAAACTATGGATTATAGTGAATGCTGTACATAGCCGGGACTCGGGCTCCTTCTAGTGTCCAGTTCTCGTAAGTTCATATTTAGAAATATATATTTCTAGGTACTGTATCTACAGTATATTTCTAGAAAGACATGTTTCTATTTTAATATTTTTAATATTTCCAGACTGTCGATAAGTAAATCAGTGGATACAGTAGGTCCCTACTGTATTTATTCCTGCTCTGGGGTATTGACATGACTTAATCGTGCTCTCTCCCCCAGAGCTTTATGAATTTACTTCTTGGAACTACCATGGGAAACCTTAGCTCAATCTGGAGATTAAGGACGAGATGACTTAATTAAATCTGCACAATCCCATTCCACTGGGTTTTGGAAATCTGTTCAAGCCCTTTCAGATGGAAGGTGTAAGGGGCAGCAAGGGCTGAAAACATCACCTCCCTTTAGTGGACAAGAGGATTCTACTGTTTCAGGGACCTTCTGCAGAAACGACTCATGCCTTGAATCCAACCCCAGGGTGCAGGCAAACAAGCAAACCGCCACCACAACGGTCACTTTTAAAATGGCGCATAACTTGTGTTGGTCGTCTCAGTACCATAAAAGAGCTGCTGTTCACTAGAATCCGGATTTCAAAAGGGTGGCCTTTCCGGAATGGCAGATCTTGTTTCCTTTCCTCTCGCTGCCAACTCCCCCTTTCAAACGAATTCGACACCACGCAGCGCTCGTTGAATCGAGGATTGAAATGGAAAGCGATATCAGGGCGGGGCGCTTGGACGCAGCCGCACTGGAAGTCAATCTGGAACCTGCCAAACGAAGGGAGGAAACAAACGAAGATTTTTGCGGGGAAACTCCGTACCTCAAGGCCAAAATCTGTGTGCGTTTTCTCAAGCATCTTGGATGTTTGCCACACATTTCAAAACAAGCCTGATGTTCTGAAAAAAACTATTCTGTGGACCAAGCAATAAGGTAGAATTCCTTGAGTGTCGCAAATGTCTTGTGAAACATCCTCCGAAACTATCCACATTGTAGTGGCTTACCAATTCATTTGCTTTGTTTTGGGACTGATCACCAGAAAATAAAGGCAGGATTTATATGCAAGAGGACTACTTAGCTGCTGAAGTCTGTAAGAAACAGGTCTCTCCGACAGTGATGGATTTCAGCTTATCACAATGACCCCTAAGATATAGCTTGACTCTAAGCCTGCTTGCAGAAACTATCTGTGTGTAAAGATTGGGGAGCAGGAGACCCTGGATCTGAATCCTGGTTTCATGAGGCTCCCCAGATTGCCACAGCCAATTCTTGTGACTATTACTGTGTTTCCCCAAAAATAAGACAGGGTCCTATATACATTTTTGCTCCCAAAAATACATTAGAGCTCATTTTAAGGGGATGTTTTTTTTTCATGTACAACGATCTACATTTATTCAAATGCACTCATGTCATCTTCTGGTTGCTGCACAAGGGTGGAGGGCGGGGTTTCACTTCACTGGGGCTTATTTTTGGGGTAGAGCTTATATGACGAGCATCCTGAAAAATCATCCTAGGGCTTATTTCAGGCTAGGTCTTATTTCCGGGGAAACAGGATAGCTGTTCGAAAGCATGCAAATGCAAAGAGATTAATAGGTACCACCTCAGTGAGAAAGTAATGGTGTTCTGCGTCTAGTCATGCCAGCCACGTGACCATGGAAAGTTTTGTAATTTTCCAGCTTTTATTCAAGATCTTTTCTGTTCTAGAAGACTAAAATGCTTCTCCTAAGTGTTATTGGCCTTCACAAAAGTCTCTAAAAGAAAATGCCATTATCCCACCCTGGATACCCAACTTCCTTAAATTACCCACCTTTCACAGGAGTGAAGAACACTTCCGCAGACCAGCACCATCATTCCATCTTTGAGACCGCCATATATTGGCCCAGTAAACGGGAGGGACTGGTAAGGATTAAAGGGATATAATTATAAATGACACACAGACACATCCTCACTTCCCTCTCCTTGTGCATCTTCTGGCCAACATCTTTACTATGCCTCTCTTCTCAGGTTTTAATTCACCTGTTTTCAGTCTTGCGGCTGGCAGCTAGATGTCTGCAAGCCATCACAGCATGGTTGCAAAATACGAACACTAAAATCTGCCTTACAAATACTGTATACAAACTGATCAAAAGGAACGGAGTGTGTGTGGATTTTCAGCTAGAATCACTTCCATCGTGCATTTGACTGGCACCTCAGTCAGCAAATCAAACGTTGGTTCTGTTGTTTCTTGCTTTTTCCCACCATGAATGGGTTAATCTGTGACACCTTCTAAACCTCATTGTTTGGACTTCCAGTGAGAATGGCAGAAACCACAGCAGCTGACTCTCTCGTCCTTCAAGAACCCATAACAGGGGAGGACAGTACCCCATGAATCAATCCCCTTGTTTGTAAAAGTCAAGATAAGTAACAGTCCTTAGGTGGTCCTCCAACAGCTCCGCCCTGTGCCCAAGGAGGAAGGATCAGGCAGTTTTTAGGTGAACCCAAGGAAAACGAAAACCTCAGGTTGAGGAAGGAGAAGTTTGGGAAGCTACCCACTTACCCCCTTTGTATGTACTGGCCAGGGTCTGGGGCCCTGCTCCTCTTTCGGTGCAGCCTCCCCACCTCTCTTGGCCCTGCGCGAGGGGTCCGACACCCCTCGCTGCTGTGGGGAAGGACACCCCCGCAGGAAAAAGATTCCCCCACCCTTTTTATAAGGGACTGCAATCCGTTTAAGGGCAATGGTATCTTAAGAGCCGGACCACCCTTTCTTGGGAAGAACAAAGTGAGATAAATAAATATGTCCGGGGGGTGGGGGGTGGAAAGGGAAGAAAATCAGCCGAGCAGCCTCCAGCTTTCCTCCGGAGGGCACTTCCCTCTGCACTGCAGCGGATGTTTGAGCGCATCGGCTGCTGCGGGGTGGGCCAGCCGGCTTTTGGAAGGGGATGAATTTGAGCACTTCGGCTCCTCGAGCCGGCTGGAAGGGCGTCCGTCCTTTTCCGGCAGCCTTACCGTTAACCACATGTTGCATTGCTGGGCATCATGGCATATGTTCGCGACGTGCCTTGATCCCTTTCCTCCCTGCTGACACTCCTTATTCTCCTAAAGGGAGCCGAGCAAAGAAGCACTTCCTGTCAAAAAGAGGTGGTGAACTTTCTTGGGCCGAGTCCATTCTGGTTTCCGTTGAGAAAAGGCTCAGCTGCCAAGCAGCCCTGCAACCGAGAGCGCCGGCGGTTCCGGAGGCTGGTCTGTGAAAACTTGGCAAACGGCTCGCTGCCGTGATAAGGAGGGCTTGCCTTTTAAAGAAACTACACTTCCTTCCCTTGCCCGCCAACAAAAAGGAGAAAGCAGCAACAGTGGGAGGCAGCCACGTCCTTATCAAAGATGTGTGTGTGTGTGTTTCTAAGCCATATTTCCCTGGGGGAAATCTGCAGGCTGCGTGCCACCCGTGGGCCAGGCAAAGGATCCATAAATACCTGTCTCTGTAGCCGTGGCCAACTCCACCAGGGAAGCCAAAAATGCAGAACCTGTGCGGATCTGCCCCCAACAAACCAGCTGGAGCAGACGTCCTCCACAGCAGGGTGGGGTTTTTTGCACGGCTAATGCATCTTAATTGTGCGTTTAAGACCAAGCCGTCCCCAGATGCTTTACAGTGGGGAGAGATCGCAACAGCATGTGGTTTTCCTCGCCTCCTGTGGCTGAGCAGAAAAGGGACACAGAGACTCGTATTGGGGGGGTGGGTGGCAAATGGCTCATCGAAATGAGGTGGTGCTTCAAACCGACCAGCCGGGGCTGGGCTTCAGGATCCGGCAGAGGCAGAGCCGGGGTGGGTGTCCCACCTTCCTCTGTCCTCCCTTCTCTTCCCTCCTCACTAGTCAAGGTGGGGCAGCTCACTCTCGTCAAAGGTCTGTGGGGCTTGCTTGTGGGGCAGGAGGGGGTGATTTTAGGCAAAGGCCGCCCACCCCGCCTGTGCTTTTAAGGGACCCTGGCGAGTCTTTTCACCGCTTTCTTAACCAACCAACCAACCTTCGGTGGCTACTGAGTATTTTGGGCTGCTGTTTGTTTGTGCTCTTGGCTGTTGCCGTTCTTTTACGGGAACCCTCGGAGATGTACACTTTGGAGTTTTTTGGTTTTTTTCTGCAATCTCCGGAGATTGCCCAAGCGTCTTCCGTGTCACAAGGCCAGCCTGATACCTTAGAGATAAGCCCATTGTTGGCCGCGGAAACCAGGTGAGGGTTCCCGAGACTTGCCCTGGATGTCGTAAGCATCAGATCTGGAAAGACGTACAGTATCTTGCTCAGCTCCTAAGGACCAGTCACAAAAAGATGGCTCGTTTGCAAGCTACCTGAAGTGAGGAAACCTTCTCCCCCTGTGGCAATCGCATATGGCGTTAAGAAACAGCCTCTTTCTTCCTCCTCCTCCTCGGGCTTTTGGCCGCTCAGCCTGGAGGCCACAACCGATTTGGCTCCTCTGCTTGGAAGGGAAGGGGCAGTAGGGGGTGTCCCCAAAAGGTGAAAAGGGTCAGGATCCATTCCACAGCCCGAATCTGATTACGGCGCGCCTGCTGGTGAGGCAGATCTCAGACTTGCAACTGGATTTCTTGTCGCCTACCGGACACATGATGTGAAATGCAGACACCAACTCCGCATCTAGGAGCAGTTTGCCACTGGGGTTTCCGCGGTGGGTTCTGGCCAAGGCCTGTCGAATGTATAAGGCGCTTTGCCCAGCCTTTCTGCCCCTGGGCTGCCCTGTGATGGAGGGCAGGAGCACCCTTGAGGATGTTTTAGGGGCTCTGTAAATTCCTGGAGATTTGGATCCTGCCTTCCCTGATAACCCTCCGGAAGCGGATCTGGTTTTACCTGAAGCCGGCGGTCAAGAGGAGAAGTCCAGCTTGGAAAAGAAAAAAGGGGGTTTCCTGAAGCCTTTCTCCCCAAAGCTGCTTCTCTCTTGGAAAACTCTTTCTAAAGCTTTACAAAGAGACAGGCGTCCGATGTGGACCAAGGGCTTCGACGATGTTCTTCTGCTCTCCTGCTTGGGGGATTGTGGGCGTTGTAGTCCGTGAAAGGAACTCCAGATGCGGATCGCCAAGGCAGCTGTGCCGGGTCGGTCGCCTCTTTGGGATGCCCCCTTGGTGG